TTGCTAATGTTTAAACAGTGATTCTTCCCCGATGGGGAACAGCAGCTTTAAAGTCCACTTTAAACTTCAGAGTGTCAGTCTTTGGCATGGTTACACTGGTTGCACTGTGTTCGTAGCCTGTGCTCTGTAGCTGAAGGTTTCTTATTGGCTTTTTATGTTTGTCTGCCTCACAGAAAAAATACCTCTGAACAATGGTTTTGACTTTCCCTGTTCTTACTATGTACTTGCCATGTTAATGGAGTTTTAAGCTTCCAGAAGCAGCTCACTCTTTTGATTTTCAGCCATGGTTTTTCAGGAGAACGTCTATAAACAAGGGTGTGTGTGTGTGTGTGTGTGTGTGTGTGTGTGTGTGTGTGTCTCAATTTGAAGGCATAAAAGGCTCAGCTTGTCTCAATTTTGAAGAAAAGAAGTATCCAAAACAATTTGCAAAAATGAATTAACCAAAAATATTGATTATTTTTGAAAACCCTAGTTAAGAGGGCACATTTAAAGTGATAACACCAAAGTAACGTAGTGCCTATAGAACTGCTAGAGTGAATTTAAAGGTAATGTTCCACTGTGCAGATGATTATATTTGTACATAAAAATTCTGAATACAGTTTGAATTTACTGACTGCTCTTTAATATTGGAAGCTTGAGCAGTAACATAAAGTTACCTCGTGCTTAGAGCTTTCTCAGAGACATCTCAAGGGTCTGCTGTTTCAATTAAGAAAATGAGACTGGAAGCTTGGGCCGGAGAACTCCCTGTTTCTATAAATAAAGTCCCACTAATACCCCTTCTCGGGAAACCCTATTTATCTTAAAAAATAATCATACTCATAAGCAACAAGTTAGCCACAGGATTTTTGGCAGGAGCTTTCAAAAAAGAAAAAGAAAAAAGAAAGCAGTATATAGTGCACGCAGCTGAGGATAACCACAAAAGCATGTGTACAGACTTGAAAGTTCGTCTACTCTCAATAAAGCAATACAGCACTGTCTCCTTGCATGGCCTCGCTATCTCTGCAAGTCAGGCATCCTGCAAAGATCACAACAAGGGCACAGCATGGAATCCAGAAATTGGCGAACAGACATCCAAAGGGGTAGCGATGGACCACCCAGAGAAAAGCCTGCAGCTTGTCAAGGGATTAGTTCATGTCAGAAACCTACAGAGCAGTTCCCAGGACAAAGAAGTAGGGAGAGTACAGTCTCCTGCAGTGATCCTGTGCTGCTGTCCACCCACTCAGCTCTTCAGTCAGCTGTCTGATGACTGTGGTCTGTTTGTAAAGCAGTCAGTGATGCAGGAGGTTGGGGAGGCTTTTTTTTTTTATGGAGCTGCTCACAGACAGCAGAGCAGGTTAAAACTAAAGTGAGAAATGTTGGAGGAATCAAGCAAACTGTTCCCCCCAGAGTTGTGTGTATTTGTCCAGATGAGTTTGGATTATTGTATTATCATCAAAAAATGAAGATTATGCAAGTAATAACACATGCAGTCCAGGCAACATTAAAGTTTAAAGTGTGTTTACTCAAAACCTGAACACCAGAAAAGGAACAAAGCCATTCTTTTGCAAGTCACGAGAGTCAAGTCTTTCCATCCAAGACTCTAGTTAAGTCCCAAGTAAAGACAGGACTGAAATCTCCTTAACGATGTGGAACAGAGTAATGCTGCGCAGTGTCCTCCCCGATTTTATTTTTTGTTTCAACTTTTCAAACACCCCTTTTGCAGCACTGGATGACAGAACAACTCCCCCAAACCGCTGGAGTCTATGCTGCCAAAGTAAGAAGGAAAAGCAGGTAGACAGCAGACGGTAGATGAGGCATGCGTGATACAGCAACAGGAGGAGGCAATTGTGGGAATTAGCAGGGGGTGCACAGTGGGCAGGAAAGTGTGCGTGGTACAGTTCCATCATTGCATGGCAGGCAAGTTTCCATTGTAACCTACTGTCTGTTTGACGTAAGATATCAAGTCTTTTCAAGCCGAGGGGGTTCAATTCGAAGTGAAGTCATGAGTCTTTAGTGTAAGAGTTCAGGAAAGGAAAAAGAAAAAAAGACGATGATGTCACCAAAAAGTAACACACTTCTGACGCAACAGAGCACTGACTTCCACAACTTTGATCCCAGTACACATGCATTATTTAGAAAGGCAGCACATCAAAATATATATATATATATATATATATATATATATATATATATATATATATATATATATATATATATATATATATATATATATGTCAAAGACGTGACAGGACTTGATATTCCGCCATTCTCTTTTATTGCTTCACATTTAGTCCCACTTTAAGATGCGTTTTCCATTACACCAGCACACATACAAGGATAGGAAACAGTGCAATAAAGGCTTTGGCAAACAAAAACAGTGTATCCATACTAGACCTTTGTGTGGTGATGAAATGCAGTCACTCACTGACATGTATAAAAAACTAAAAAGGAGTAACGGCGTATGTTCTTAAAACTTGCTGTTCTTATATCTGGCATGCTTGAAGACAAGGGTTTTTGTTTGTGCAAAAACATTTTTAGGTTATTATTAAGCTTTAATTAATGAACACTGGTTATCTACACAGAAGTTGGACAAAATTAAACATCTAACATTGTTATAGGTCTGTCCGTTTCATTCTGAAACTTGCAAAATGAATGGTTCCAAAACATTGATTTACAAGAAAAGCAAAAAGAAAACAACTTTTGGGACGACGAATGAATATCAGAGCAACAATCCATGATTTGGACCTTTGTAACATTATATATTTTTGTATAACAGAAAAAAACAAAACAAACATGGAAATACACAGCATTGACAACCAATGTGAGATTCTTTCAGCAATGTTTTGCAGACAGAAGAGTCAGATTCATTCAAAAACAATGTAATGTCTCCTTTGGATCACTAGGAGGCGCATAGTTTCTTGAACATTAGAATGCCACCTAACTAATCTTTGGATAGACAGGATTTTATACTGAGAACTCAATATATGTGTGAAATATATCAAGCAAATAGTTTATTTTTAATTTATATTTAACTAGTGATACATCGGAGCTCAAATTAGTCAAATTCTAAAAAGAGGTGAAAGATACAGTTTAAGTTTTCACATGTTTGTCTGCTTTCTTGGTTTTCCCTCCTTGCAAGAGATAGACTCTTGAGGAATGATAAAAATGCAATACAATTCCATACAAATATGAAACGATTAAATTAAACTGCTGTAGGTCAAAATGATCAATCCTTAAATTGCACAAAAACAAGCAACAGTCACACTATAAAAAAGTTGTTAAATTGTCTTGCTCAATCTGCATCCAGCATTGCAACTGCACAAAACCAAATGTCACGCAGCTAAATGTGAGAAGCATTCAAGTCTGCCGAACATTTTTTTCATGCTACAAACCACAAAGCTTATTCTTAGAATTTTCATATAGTAAACAAAGCAACACAGAATAGCACATTCCTTTGAAGGGTAAGGAAAGTGACATTTGGTGAAGTGCAGCACTCATTTGCATTCAGCCTAGCCTGTGCCAACACTTTATGAAACCATCTTTCGGTGCAATTAAAGCTACAAGTCTTTTGAGGCATTTCTTTGCAAGGCCATACCTGAATTTGTTTCATTTTTTTTTTCTTCTGCAAATTAGCTCCAACAGCACAAGATTTTCAGGAAATACCATTCCTGCAACCTGTTAACATTAGTTTTCAAGTCTTTTCATAGACTGAGTCTTTCTAACGCATAAAGGTGCTTTAATATAGAAAACTTCTTTGAAAATTTTATTGTATTTTGGGATTACCGTTTTCACCCTCCATCCCAGTCTCAAGTCTTTGGCAATGTCTAAAAGGACTGACCTGTAGTTGATGACAATTCATCTTAACTTTGACCAGCTTTCTGACTGCAGGCAGAAATGATCAAACATCTTTTAATAAATGTGGACATCAATCAATCAAGCAATAATTTTTTTTAATATATATATATAGTGCTTAACTGCTGGTTGTGTCTCTGCAGCTCCTCCAGAATGAGCAGTGACCTCTTGGCTGCTTTTCTGACAGAAGCTCTACCTACCCAGGCTGTCAGTGTCAGTACATAGCGATGTCTTAGTTAGTTTGCAGTTGTGTCACATTCTCCTGTTTCATATGATGTATTAATCAGCGCTCGGTGAGATATATTTGAATGTTATTTTGGAAATTGACTCATTTGACTTTTCCATAACTTTCAAGCCTGACCTGTTTGCTGTGCTGCTGGGTTTCCATAATGCCGTTTGTTCAGTAATGTTCTCTAGTAAACGACTAAGCCCTTCGCAGAGCATTTGGATGTTTATTGAGACTTTGTTGCTCACAGATGGACTATTGAAGGTATTTGGTTTCACTGAAACTTATTCAGCGGCATACGGGCTGTTTCTCAACATTTATTTTTAAATGAAAACATAAAAGCCATAGATCACATTCCTTCCACTCCCCAATTATGCATTACTCTATTGTAATTTGTCATATAAAATTCCAATGAAAACACTGTGATGTGACAAAATGTGGGAAAAGTTAAAGAGGGTAAAAAAAAAAAATGCTTCTTTAATGCACTACAACAGACATATTCCAGACGTATTCAGTGTCTCCTAATGCGCCTCGCATTAATGTGCAGTCTTGCATACTTTACATACAAACAGTAATGGCTGCAGTTAAAACCCACACAGCAATGTGCCCTCGTCAAACACACACGGATCGATACTTTCTCCGTTACTGTGCTTAGGTTGCTTCTGAAAGTAGATTAAAAGTGGAAACAGACAAGCTGGGAGGAGAAGGGGACACTCTGGTGCAATGCAAACAATCCATTAAAGTCTTGCTGGGCTTGTGAGATTGCACAGAAAAACATTTTGTTTATTTTTATATCTACGTGCAGTAGCTCAGTGACAGTCTGCGCGGCACTCGATTGTATGGATTTCAAGCTAAAGCTTCCCTGCCCCTTGCTCTGAGTATTGATTCAAAGCTGCAAGAGCAAGAGAGGGGTTTAGGACGTATGCGTGTGTCGAGACTGTACCTGGACGGAGATGCTTCTGTTCTGACGGGACATGTTGATGTTGTGTGGTTGTCCGTTGGCCAGGTTACGCTGGTCCACATCTATTGCAAACGGCTCCCTCAGACCGCCGAGGTTATACCGGACCTGCAGTGAGCCTTGAAGAGACCCGCAGCCGCGGCTGAAGTTTTGCTGTTTCAAGTGAGAACCGGCAAACTGCAGGCGTGCATGTCAGCCTTACCATTGTTTCTCAACACCAGAGCCAGGTAGTCCTGCGTCTTGGAGCTCACGTACATGAGAATTGCCGGAGAACTGGATGTGCTAAAACTGAGGGTCACTTCTTCCTTTGTTAGGTTCACGTCGTTTGGCATCAGCTGTTGCGTCAAGGCTTTTGTGTCTTTACTGGCCCCTGGAACTGGTTCAGGCATGAAGTTGTATTTGACCAGTGTTCCTGCCTCAAAGAAGCCACCAACATCTGGGTGAGAAGGAGGAGAAAAAAAAAAAAGTAAAAAAATTAAATTATATCCTCAAGTGAGTAAGGCACGCACAGAGGAAATACACGAGTGCATCTGCATGTGTGCCAGAAAAGCCAGCGAGAGAAAAGAGAAAAAAAAAACCAATAAAACAAAATTAAGAAAGTAAGAAAAACACCTTGGATCATAACCACACCACAGGGAGCCACTCGCTGACTCATACATGCAAAGACACAAGCTGGTAAACATAATATTTAGCCAGAGGGGAATAAACACACACATGAATACGGTTGTGTTCTGCAGGTGTAGTAAAGTGGGTATTAAATTGCTGCTCTCCAGCACCTGAATCCAAACAATACGCCATTTACCAGTACATTAACGAACCTAATGGCATGCTTTAACCATTCCAGGGGGCTTATTGATTCTCATAATCAAACGTTCAAAAGAAGCGCCCTTATTTTCTGTAACCTATATAAGTTATGCTCTTTGTTTGGAGTGTGTGTGTGTGTGTGTGTGTGTGTGTGCACATTCGGTCTGGATCTGCTAAAAAAACAGACAAACACCATCAACCTAAAAAGAAGGCTTGTGCAAAATACAAATAGAAAAGTGTTTGTTTTTCATTTTTTCCCCATGTAGAATACACTGCGACATGTTTGTCTTATCCCTCCTGAACACAAAATTGCAACTGAACACATTTATATAAATTTTATAAAGCTTCACTGCACCCCTGTCTCCCACCAGACTCAGACTGATAAATTCTTCATGCTACGCTACTTAAATTTAATAGAAGCCTTATTAATAGAAAATGGGAGACTTTGCTGGCTGGAATATTCTTACGGGGGAAAACCTTTTATACATTTAGATACATTTCAAAGCTGAAAGAGGCCCATTTAGCAAATTGCTTTGTGTTTATGACAAACACTGTTTGTAAGTACTCTTGTATTACTTTCTATGCCGGCGTTTAAGAAAGTTTACTAAAGCTGCTCCAAATTATATCCACAAAATTCACACAATATTTAGCGCCCTGCAGAGTTTGCAGATGTTTCCACACTTTGTTCCCTTCTCACATTGGAGGTCTGTAACAAGAATTCAACATTTCTGTTCATAGATGCGCATGTGGTTTCTTATCCTGATGCAATCTGTCAACCTAAGCCAATATGGAACAAACTTCCAGAAAACCACAAAAATAGTTGCCTTTGATTAGTAGTAAGTGGAATATTGATCAACACAATTGATGTATATGTGTTTGATGATTTTGTCAAATGTATTTGACAAAATGCAGTGCATTGAACTGCCTCGTTGCTGAAGCGTGCTACACAAATAGTTGACTTGGCATAAGCCAGCAAAAAAAAAAAAAAAAAAAAAGCTGAGTATTTAAAGTTTTAAGCACCTTTTAAATCAACATTTTTGACCAAATCTGTGGGCAACCAACCTCCATCTCTGCCTAGCTGGAGGAAATAAAAAAAAAAAAAGTGACTCACTCAAAGCCCAAAGCTTCAGAGGCAACATACAATTTTCTGGCAAAATGAATGAGAAAAGCGAACCAGAGCCACAGCATGTTCTGTGTGATTGTGTGACTGCAGAGGTAATACAGATGTGGGTTGCTTGCGCTCGGGTATTCATTTGTGTATGTACCTTTGCACGCAGACACCCAATGGCCCCCAAGGGCAGAAAAGCAAAAAGAATGGGAGTGTATAATAATAACACCGGAGGGTCCCCTAAGCGCTGTGTAAATATGGATACAATGGAAATGCACTGTGCAATTATGGCTGACTCCATGCATTTTTCACTCACTGGGAGGATGGGTTAGGGAGGTGGAAAAGGTGATGGTACATTAAAGAGGGAAGAATGGAAAAACTTTGGAAAAGGGCAAAGAAACAAGACACGGAAAACAGAATATAATGAGTGGGAGAAACTTAAAAAAAAAAAAAGCAGACTGAAACCATTTTTGGGAAAATGGGAAAAATCTAAGGGAACAGACGATGAAGAAGTTAAAGTGACGTGCAAAAAACCAAACAGACACAAGGGTGTGCTCTCTCCCTTTCGTCTGCTTCTCTGATGTGTACCCATGCAACCCCCCCCCCCACGCCACAAGCCCCACTCCACAACCTGCACATAGTCACACACACACTCGTTCACCCCTCTACACAAGACCCTTCCTCTTACAGAGACAGTAGGCTAATCTTTATTCTTTAAATCTTGAAATACTTCATTGCTTCTGACAAAATTCAAAGGAGGTCTTTTCATGTCTTATGCTAGCACTATCACTGCACACTGCCATTCTCTGTCATGGCACATGAGGACACACACACACACAAAAAGAGAGACATACACAAGCACAACTACCCACAAAAAGATGCACACTGCTTTTCTGTCATCTTGTCACCCCCCTGCCAAGAGCGCAGGGGAAAAACACCATTCAACTTTAGGAAACAAATTAATTCACGTGTCGGAGATCAACTCTCTGACTGGGAGCTAGCAGAACGCCTCTGACAACATTGCTGCTCTTCTCCCCTGAGTACTTTACAAAAACTTGTTCTGGGAAGTAGAACTTTAATAGACTATCTAATAAATCCCTATGAAACAAACATGGTGTTTTAGCACTACGCAGCAAAGCCGAAGCAGAGCTACAGTGTGACATTTTCTGTCTGTGATCTTCCAAAAACCTAAACACACCCACATTTTTTGCAAAAGTAATTTATTATTTCGTTTTATTTTTATTCATGTCCCCGAGTTTGATCTCCCAGGTCTGCCTTTCCACATCCTCAGTATTCAGCAAGCGCACCCCAAAGTCAGGGAGAATTGGTAGGTAAGCACAATATCACTGCCAATCGATGGCTTTTATCATAAGCCCAAACACTTTCAACACAGACGGCTGCAAACTGAATAGGAAGTGAGGACAATCACAAAGCGCAGCAAAAATCACAGTAGGGTGTCGGCCAATGAAGCTCAATAAAGCATAAGTACTATAGCAGTAATTCTGGTGCTATTTGACTCTGGCTCTGCGGCCTAAAAAAGGGACTGTGAATGATAAAATTCTTCTACAAATGGCTTTGTAGAAGTGGATAAACCCAGGCTCAGGGATTTTGTGTTATATTTTGAAATAAAGCAACTATTGTAAGTTTGAAGTGAAAATCCTACAAATGAGGAACCATAAAAGTCTTGAAATGTATTTGTAGTTTTTGAATTGGAATAGTTTGAGGATGTACAGAACTTTGTGTAAATAGTGGCACATTTTGCTTCAATTGCAAACTTAAGTGTACTTCAGTCAACTTCCTGCAACCCCATCCCATCTCTCCTCACATTAAGATCACAGAGGAATACACAAGTCAGCTCTCTCAACTTCAGACGACCAGGAAATCTCCAGAGCCCTGACAGTATTTCTACCTGCGCTGACCAACTGGTTCCCATTTTCACTCACATATTCAACTAGTTACTGGAGCTGCGTGAGCGTTAATTGTTCCGCTATCATCCTGGTTTCCATGAAGGTGTTGCCCAGACGTTTGGGGTGATGAAATTCTTTGAATGACTAGAATCGAATCATCTAAAGGAGATTACAGGCTTACTACTGGAGAATACATTTGCATAAGACACTAGAATACACACTGAGGCTGAAACTGGTACATTAAAAAAAAAAAAAAGTCCTTACCTTTGGTGCAGAATGGGCCATTGAAGGCGGTGGTGGTGCAGTCACATAAATACCCGTTATACCTCTCCACACACTTCCCTCCATTCCTGCAGTACATCCCAAAGCTGGTGCAGTGACCCTGGCAACCAGACATAACCCCTGGCGTGACTTTGGCTCTCTCTTCCAGGTTGAGGGTGATGCCATTCATTCGTAAGGCTCGGATACAACCCAGAAACCCCCGCTGGCCCCCCGCAGCACCTGAGAGGCGACAGAAAGGGATCAGGCAAAGAAATGAAGAGCAGGGAGTAGTTGACAAATGGGATTCAGGGTTACAGGAGTCACTCTGAATGCAAGAGGCTCCATTTTAATCAGTTTTGGAAGCGCTAATACGCCGGAGCCTGGAGGAAGCCACTGATGTTATGCTAATCTTTCAAACTGCGACACTGTTCTTGAAACAACCTTCAACTCATTTGATTTTTCACTAATTAGAAAAGCCTAATGAACACGGTTTCTTAATGAACACCTCGCAAGCGTGTGGGCGCATGGAACGTATGCAAAACTACATACTTCAGACAAACACATTCAAAACGCGCCACACACAGCGCCCCTGATTTCAATGAGTCAATACAAACATTAATGGGTTGCCTTGGGGTGTCAATAGCTATTTTTATAAAATGCTTCCATTGTCATTCTGGTCTAGCACCATTACAATCTAACTACCCATTAAAATGGACAAGGTAAGGGCGTTAAATAGATGAATTTGGAACTAAATGACTAAAGCAATAAACACACTCATAAACATGCACCTACAGGTATCGATTTGAATATACAAGCACCTGACGTAGGACAGAAATGCAGGTATGCACATGCATACATGATGAACACCATCATTAACAAGAGCCACGGGACATTTTAGGGATTCAAGTCTCCAAATTGGATCCTCTTGCTTAGGGAGAAATAACAACTTGAAAAGGACATATAAGGAAACTTGAATGTGCAAATTATTTCCTCCCTCATCAGCATTTTCACATAAAGGGAAGAAAAGAAACTTAACTACTCAGCTGCGGGATCGCAGAGATAGAAAGACGACCGAAACATGCGCTGGTTCTCTCCGGCCAATGCATCATTGACAAATCAGGATGCAGGTGGGCTTTCACCTGCTTTCTCCACTTCCAAACTCATAAAGAATTACACTCTTAGTAGACCTCTTAATTAATCTATTTTGTAGCACTGATTGGCTGGAGGTTTCTGCCACCTGTTTACCCAGGGCTAAATCAGTCTCTGATTAAACGGACAGCAGGCTCTGATGCCTGCAGAGACTGAGGCAGGCACGCACACACCAACACATCCTGAAGCACAGGTGTGTCCTGCTTCTTTATGGCTCCTAAATGCGATCTAATAGAGCTTGATGGAGAGTGACTGCAGTCTATAATTCAAAAGTATTCACACGACGTATCAATTACAAATTATATACTCAGGTAAAACTGGAAATGCGGAGATAAAACACTTGATCACATTTGAAAAAATGGCTTGTAAATAGAAAAGAAAAAGGAAACATAAAAAACTGTTTCTCAATTTTTTAATGCACAAAAATTAAAAATACAAAAGTCAACTACTATAAGATTAAACCCATGTTAAAGCTTTGCCACTGTCTCAAAGGCTATAAAAAGTTAACTTAGCTAAAAAATTGTGTAGGGTTTCTCACAAGAACAAATCACCTCAACTCATTCAATTCATCAGCAAAGAATCTGATGCAGAGAAGTTCTGCTTGGTTTGCTTTTTAAAGAATATTTAGGACAGATAGATGAACAGAAATAGAACAGACCCTTTGGGAGAAAGATGCTTTGGACAGATTAATCCAGGATTTGTAGCATGGTAGAAGATGAGAGTGAACATGATATGCTTTGAGGCTTCATGTCTGAAATTGATAATTAGACACTGAGTTAACTTCTCCATCTTCAACATAATAGCACAACTAAAAGAAGATACCCCCCCAAAAAAATAATCACAAAAGTTTTATAATTGCTCCAATAATTGTCTGCCTTAAACACCAACAGTTTCCAAAACACTTTTCTTGGGCAGCCGACCAAACTTGTTCAAAAACAAAATCAGCCTGCAAATACCAATTACTGTCCAGGTACACTGAGCTCCACAAGTATTACAGTGCAGTGTAACAGCATTTCCCCCCAAAGATTTTCTTTGTTTTTCTGCTTTTTTGATTAATTAGTGCATTTGTATAGGATGCTGATGACCTAAATAAAAACCCAGTGCAACCGGCTGTGTTCAAAAGTCAGTCAATGTATTTATTGGCCGTGAAGAAATAACACCCTTAACACAAGTTAAAGACTTTTTTATTTAAGCAAGCCTATTCTGCCTCCACATGATTTTTATAATGTTGATTTTATTTACGATTTTAGTTGCACTGTGTAGCACTTTGAGATTTTTTCTAATGAAAAGTGCAGTACAAATTAAAATTATTATTATTATTATTATTATTATTATTATTATTATTATTATTGTTATAAGTTAATCTGAAAGAAAAACAAACAAAATCCAGTTTTCAAAGGACAGTTTCATTTATTATATGAAAAAAAACAAAAAAAAAAACACCCAAACCAACCTGGCAAAAAAAAAAATTCCCCATTCTAATCCTTTCTAATACAACATCTTGAGCTTATCTACAAATTTTGACTGAACCACAAAATTGACAAAATTCCTCCACAGTGATGCAAAAAAAGCTACAGTGTGATAGCCAATGTTGCTGCTAAAGATAGCATAAGCAGCTATCAGGTTTAGAGGCTGAATAGCTTTTCAGAAAAGGTTAGTTTGGATAGTTTCTCTAAACGAATTAATCATTTGAAAACTGGGTATATTTCGTTCATCTGTGTCTGATATAAAAATTCATGTGACGATCTGAAACATTTAAGTGTAACAAAAAAAGTGGGAACAAGAAATAGGTTTTTAAAAGACTGGGACAGATTCGTCACCCAAATGTAATTATTATTTCAATTATAATGTCATATTATTTTTGAATTTTGCAACCAGCATTTTATAACTCAATACAATACATTCACAGCTCTGTAGGACTATCTCTTGTTTTACAGATAAAATGTTACCTACTGTCTTGACAGGTGAGTGCAGCTGGTTTTCCTGTGATGGGTGTCACACACATGCAGTGAGCGGTAACAAGCAAGAGCCCAGTCCATGCAGACAGAAGCAAAAAAAAGAAAGAAAGAAAAAAACAAAACAAAAGACAGACAGCACAATCCAAGCATGAGAGGACTTAGAAAAAAAACAACAAAAAAACACGAGTGCGAGAATTAATCAAAACGGAAATCAAAACACAGATGGTGGCATAAAGCTAATAAAACACGGCAGGATTTTTAGCTACGTTCATGTATGAAGCGAAATGGGAAGCTAAAAGTTAACAGTGTGAAGTAAATGGCGGCAAGCTGATGGTGTAACATTTACTTTCAAAGCCATTACAGCAAATGAGCCACTGTGCGGTAAACAGTAAAGCAATCAAACGCTTGACAAGGAGTGTATTGATTAAGAGGGAGCGAAAGAGGTGATACACAGACAAACATGAGACCAAGGTTAGCGAAATCAAGCCTCATTTTGTCTTTGATGTGAGCAAGAGAGAGAAACACAAAGATCAATCAAACTGATTGTATTTGTACAGAATGTATTTCAGTCTCAGATCAGTGCAGCAGAAATCAGTTGTATTCACAGCCTGCTTCCCGCTATTATTTTTTAACATTCACGTCGATAGAAGGCAAAGACGAGTGTGAAGTGGTACGACGTGTTCCATAAGAAGACACAATCAAGTGAGTCAGGACAAAATCTTCATCAAACACTAAAAGATCTCTATCCAGGGGCCAAACCCCAGGCCCCTTCCTGTGACTGCTTGGGTCACTTCCTGGGACTTCTCAAGGTGTTGCTCTATTTAGGATTAAGCAGAGCTTAGAGACTTGATATGAGGCAGCCCTGTCACCTCATATGTGTGGCTACACACAGTCCTTCCCTTGGTAGGTTAGCGAGATATGCATCCAAAGAGAAGAAATGGATTACACTACAACCACCAACTTCATTATGTTGTATGGGAATAAAACACCAAGTAACGCATAACTGTGAAGTGAAACGGAAGTTGAATTTTTTTTTCCCAGAAAAAAAAAACGTATAAGAACCGAGATGTGCATTTGTATTCAACACATTTAGATATAAAGCTTGGTAGGTTGTGTCATGCTTCTTCAGACCCTTTTATCAGAATGAAAGGGTCTGAATACACATTTGATTAAAATTTCAGGCTTTATAAGGATAAAAACAAAGAGAAAGTTAAAGTTACGTAGCCTTTTTAGTCCAGTTTACAGTTATGTGCTACTTTGTGTTGGTTTGTCACACATGAGGTCAATAAAAACTGAATGAAGTTTACGGCTGTAAGATTTGAGGAAAAAGTTGAAGGGTATGAATACTTTTGCAGGCCAGTATATCTGCAGGTTGCACAAAGACAAAGCCTTTCTCAGTTCTTTCCATTTCAATAAATGTCACTGTGAGCAGAATGGGTTCCTGATAAGAAGATGATGTTCCAATCAGAGAGAAAAATGATGAGAGGAAGGAATTATATTACAAACGGGGATCAGGATTGTTAAGGCTATCACATCGGGATGCCTGATTGGAAATTTCAGCAATCTCTTTTGGGCGGAACTTTTTTTTTTTTTTTCCACGAGATAGTGGGAAGTCTCAAACTTGCCTCAGCACTTTTCCTTCTATTCGCAAATCCCTAAAACTCTCTCAGCCCTGAAGTTTGCTGTGTAGAGTGCTGAAGGCTCAGCACAAAAGACAAACTGAAGCAGAAGTCAAGTCGCACGGTAAAAAATAGGACAGATTTTCTATTTTCTGTACTTATTGTGGGCTTAAAGAGTAGAACAGAGAAACAGCAGAAGCAACCCAACTTTCTTCCCCTGTCACTAAGGCAGAAGTTGCACCATCTAATAATCAAATAGTACAGATTGCCCCTCTTTGCAATGTTAATCCATAGCAGTATAAATGTGTACTTAAGGTATTAAAGTATTAATGAAACAACCTTTCTAAGAGAGTCAGTTTTGCATTTATTAAAACTCAGATCACTGAAATGGATGACTTTCCAAGGATGAGTGTGTGTGTCCACATATGTGCAAATGATTAAGCAAAACACATCGTTGTGTTTTTTTTTTTTTGTTTGTTTGTTTTTTTTGTTTTGCCAGTCTGTCCTGGAGACTTTTAATTAGCAGTGGCTGTGGCTAAGCTGAACGGAACGTCTTAAAGGGCAGTAAAGCTGGCAAATCCTTAATTTATGAATCATTCAGACGTTCTGAACGTGGTTGTCTCAATTGGAGGGCAGCACAAGTGAAAACAAAGTCCACATATAAACCCTTTTTTTTAATAAGAATGGAAGACAGAAGTTATTTTGTGCGATTCAAGTTCTAGACTATATGTCCTTTACAAAGGCAACAATAAGTGTTCAGAAGGCAGTAAGATGCGTGCACAGCAGGCAGTCCTCTAAATGAAAACATGATTGTTAATTTTATGAGTGAGCATGTGTGTGTGTGTGTGTGTGTCGTACCGACGTAGAGCTGGCTGAACAGCTCTAGCCGTGTGTGTCCCTGTGCGGGCGCTAGCCGGGATGTCCGGTACACCTGGTCCACCTGGAGGACTGCTTCTTTGATGTTGCGCTCGGCCATCACGCGGTGCCACTGGTCGTCATTGAGGGGTGCAGCTGAGTGCACGGTCAGCTCCACAGGTCCGTTGCCAACATCGAAAGAGAAGGAGACCACCGTGGGGGCTGGAGGAAAAACAATGAGAAACCTTAGTCTCAAGAGTAAAGTCGTAACTGTCACGACAAAACACTGCAAAACGTTCAAATCCGAAACCAGCTGTTCAGATGTGGTCCAGTCGCCCGGTATAGACATCCAGTCAGTGGTCTAACGCCTCATTTGGTTCAGGTCCATTTATTTGCCAGATATAGATTTCAGTTTTGCACAACACGACTGCACACAGATCTAGACAGGGCCAATCCCACAGAATGTCGATTGGTGTCGAGACCTGTTGAATTTGCATATTAAGACGTTGTGTTGCAGCATTCGCTGGTCCTGTTAGAGATGGCAAAGCTAGACATGATAAACAGGAAATTGCAAAAATAAATAATGATAATAAAAAAAACTACTGAAAGAAAAAGCAAAAAGATGTACTTTTCAGATGCCAATGCTACACTGGTATACATTTTTATTATTTCAGTAAGACTTGACTTGAGAGAGTTATTTTGTATACGTAAGTTATGTAACTGAAGATTGCAAGTTGTGTGGCAGTCATTAATTTACTGAAATTTAATTTGTTAATTGCTTGCAGCAGACCAAAAGGGGGCAGTGTTCTTCCTCGATGGGTGTATCTCAATGTAAATCATTCATTGCTATTTCTGATTCTCCGTGTTTGAGTGATTGACCTTTCAACCTGTGCACTCCAGATGTTGCCAGTCCATCAGAGGAAAGGTTACTGAGGAACGACGATCTAGCTTCGACTTTGTAAGCATCTACACATTGTATGTAACACGGAACAAACACGACTTCCCGACGCATTTCCAGCTGTACCTAAGCCTGATGAAGTTATAGAAATGGTTCACAAACACCACCCACATGAAAGAGTATTTGTATTGTTTGAACTTTTACTTATTTTGACATTTTACAACTACAGATGTGTTAATGTGTGTTTTTTTTTTCAGTCACGTTCTACTTTGTGTTTTTAAAGATAAAGAATTGCACTTATAATGAAACAAATTGCTTTCCGTTTTTAACACTGCATCTTTTGTTTTTTTGAACAAACAGCTTCGCCACACCTGTTAATCACAGATACAGTTCTTAAATTCAACTCGCCCTCGATGGGTTGGTGAGTGTGTGTGTGTGTGTGTGTGTGTGTGTAAAACCACAAACGTTTTTTTGCAGGCAGGATCAGCTATAAGCAGTAAAGTCTTTATTTATTCACTGCCGCTGCATGCAGATTGTTCCCGGACATCGCTGTCCGATTCGTGAGAGCTTACAGGTGCTGCAGATTCCTGATGCTGCTAGCAAAATCATGGCACTCAGCGTTGCATTAGTTTGTTTTCAACGGTTTGTGAAATTGCAAGTGTTAAGAAGTTCTGGACTTTGATTGAATCTTTCGGTATTGTTGGTTCTTTTTCTTCTTGCTTCCATTGTATGCTGTTAATGGGCTGCGCAGGCTGATGATGTCATTCTCTCGTCCGTCGCTGTAGTGTCAGCACATTTCAATGAATAGCAATGAGTTTGAGTAGATGCATGTGGTACCAGATAGATACCACCATGCTGATTATAATATCATTGCATCCCTAGTTACAATTTATTGGAATTTCATATGGTGGAGCCATCCGTTTCAACACATTAAAATGTTTTAGCATAAACCACTCAGTTGTAGTTCTGAACCAAGCGGTCTTTTGTTATTCAGGGGTATCAGATTGAAAGGTCCTAAATATATATATATGTGTGCTACAAATACAAATTATTAAATAAACAATTAATTAAAAATATATTATAGTTTGAGGTTGTAATGTGACAAAATGTTCAAGGTTGGTAAATGAGTCAGGTATGAAAGCCTGTAGCAGCTTCACATTTTCTTTCAACTCTTCAGACATTTTACTTGCTAATTCTCTGAATGCTTGTTGCAGTGAAATGTTGAGATATTTTACTTGATAACTCGAAGCAACAACAAAAGAAGTAAACACATTTTTATATATTTTTTTTGCTTCTAGAGAGCCAAGTTTCCTTCTGTGAATTAAAATTGACTTGACTTCTTTCCAAATTTTGGAAATGCTGTAAGACTTATGCATTCTGGGTGCCATATTGTTGCTTCTGGCATCAATGTACTGCGCCATACTGATGATTAATCGCTCTGTGTTGTGCTGGCTCATTTTTGCTCCATTTGCCTGTGTATTTCAGAGGATAATTTTGTGTATTAATCAATAGGGAAATGAACTTTCTTCTTTTGTTTTGCCCAATCAATATTCCTGGCCTTTTCCTCCTTCTCATATCACTCTCATCTAATTATATCTTTTATCATACAGCTATTTCTTCCAGTGTTTGGCCTTGCATCCTTTTTCACAACAAACTTAGTCTCTCTGGAGTTTTATATTATTTCTGTTTACTCATCTTCCTCTCACTTTGCTTTTTAGTACTTCTTGCTCTTACAGAATCCTCTGTTTACCGGCACCTTGACTCTTTCTTTGCTTCATCTGCATGTCGCTTCAATCCCTCTTGAAATTATTAGCATTTAGTTAATTTGCAGGCAATCTTAGTAAAATAGACAATATAGGACTTTGTTGCAATTCCTTAGGAACGCCTCTTGTTCTGTTCTCAAGGTCAGACAACAGGACCGATTTAACACCACCTGCATTATCAAATAAGTTCAAGGAATAACCTAAGCAATCGTACATGAGCCATTTAAATTAACACAGAGCAGAAAACAAGCAGGAGATTGTCAATTTTTCTATAATCTCCTGTATTTTACTGCAGCAGGTATTGCAGATTTTGTTTTTCTAGTTGATTAAGGTCAATGGGAATAGAGAGAAGTTCTCGTCATGTCTTCATCTGGCATTCCAACTACCTTTACACAGACAAAGAAGTTGTTCTTTTGTATAACTTCTTAATTATTATAAAAAACCATCTCCACGCAACAACAGCCGCAGCTTACACGCAAACATTAAAACAAGTTTTCCAACTGGAGAATATCTTACAACTCACAGTGACTTGCAAAAACAGTACAAAGCATTTTAAACGACTCATGATTTATTTAAATATTTTCTTTCCCAGGTTATATGCAGTGGAATGGAGATTTCCGTGGCTAAGCAGAACTGAAGACATGCACTAAACATTTCCTGGCTTTGTTTTATAATCAGCCTTTACGATGGTTTATTAGAACCATTAGGTTCACCAAACTCCCCGTCAATATTTTCAGTGTTTACAAGTGATGGTGCCCTAAAATTAACCGGAAGATAATTTCCGATCACCCTTAATATAATCAAATGGAGGAAAATTAATTCCTGGTTCTCAATCAGCTTTAATAATTTTTTTTTTTCTTATTTCAATGCAAACAAACCTTGACATTGATGTGCTTGTCTCCATCTAATGCTAAATCTATGCTTAGTCTCTGTGGAGTTTCTGCTACTATTATGTGACAAGTGCTGCTTTAGAACTGTGACAAACCGCGTTAACTGTGGGCCTCATCTGTCTGTCTGATACCCCACTCTGCTTCACCTCTCCAGCTCCTTTGGTGTCTCCTCTGTGTGTTGTGCCTGTTATACTCCTTATCTTTTGTGCCTCTGCTTTCAGAAAGAGTCGATTTAAATGACAGTCCTCGTTTGATTTTCTTTGATTTTGTCAAACAAAGCTCTTATTTGGAGTGTTGCACGCACACATAAACCCGAAGATCTGCTGCTTCTCACCGAAAGGGCGAAACAAAGAGCGATTGTCACGGTTAGCAGCTTTGGGCAGTTTCAGGGTTTGATTTGAGATATTGGTATTGTTTAAGTGCTCTATTGTGCATATTTTGATGGCAAAAGCATCTGTGAACCCTGAGCAAGTCAACCTCGCAAACTAAGACCCCCTTACCTTTCAACTAATTTAAGCTCAACACTGAGACAGTTGTAGTCCCTTCTCGACTCGTGCTGCCACGGCAACAGGACGCTTCCCTTCCTGCACCTCTTCCAGGTTGACATGCACCTGTTTCCTTGCTTTTTTTTTTCTTTCCCCCCCATTACAGACAAAGCTTCGAATATACGCAGCCTACCTGCTGGTATATGGCAAGAATGAAAAGCCTATAACTTGGAGCCACTCTCTCTTTCTGTTGCACAGTCTCGGTGTGTGTGTGCCATGTGCTGTGAAGAACATCTGTTGTTTCAATGTCACACATGCACAACCCCCCCCAGCCCCCCACAATTATGAATGTGTGGGATTTAGCTCCAAGATGACAGCTGCTGATTGCTGTTTAAAATCTAAGTTTATTCGTTAAACATTTACAATGTATGGCATTTGACAGCCTTTAGTTCATAGAATTAATGATGTCTGTATCCTCAAACCAGCCTGCAAGGTAGAGAGGTGTGATGCATTAAACAGGGAGAAAATGACAATCACATAGACCCCAGCGGAAACATAGCTTCAACAATTCTGTATAATAATGCTCATTTATGTGTGCGTTGTGTGTGTGATCTACAAGTTTTATTCCGGTGGGAATAAAAATAAAAACCTCCTCACAGTACAGAGTTTGTCTCATCTATTTGTGTAGATGAGAGAGATGTCAGAAGGTAATTGTGTGCGTGAATGCAATTTTCCATTGCTGTGTGTTTTTATATCTGCTTGTTGCTCCGTATGTGTCTTTTTTTTTTTCTTTTTTTTTTTGGTGTGTGTGTTTGCTTCTTGAGATTTAGGTTCGTATTTATCTTTTCAAACAAAGGCTAAAAAGAGCCAAGTTTTAAATTATGCAGCAGCACGGCACAATCGATGGATGATAAATCGCAAAAGAGACCGTGGATGACTTTGAGTAAAAACAGCACTGCTTGTGTGGGAATGGTTGCGTGCACTCGTGTGTTTGTCTAATGTAAAGTTCAGTTTAGCTGTTCTTTTGTTTTTCCAGGTAGCTGGTAGTGTATTATCTGTTTGATCTCTTTTCTGGTGCGCTTATTAAATCTTAGTTTTTTTGTCTTATTCGGTTTGTTAGTCTTTCACTTTTTCCCCAACCTGCAAGAGACGCTAAAAGAATGGAAACCCTGCTTTGCTGCGAGCTTAATTCAAAGTGCAACAACAAACCTCGATACAGCTGTGACAGAAGTAACATTTCGGTTTGAATAAGAGCATTTACTGAACCAAAATGATCCCTCGGCTCCAACTTTTCTCATTTTGCTGCAGAAGTAAAAATCCATTTTGCCATCAAAGCACAGAATGACGGTTGTTTCTTTGTATTTAAAAGAAAGACAAACTTATGACTCCATCTTTTGAAAGTAGTGACATTTTTAAACTTTTTTGCATCCCAAAACGAGAGGAAACATCAGATTCCTGCACTTAGTTCATTAGTAAATATAATCTATTTATGTGTAAAATAATCTCAGCATGAATATAGCTGTTCTGTGATTTGTTTCGTGTGCCTCAGGGGATTTCTAAAGAACAATTACTGAGCATGAAGAATGATGAAGACCAAGGGACACATCAAGCAGGTCAAGGTTAATTTAAAGAAGGGTTACACTGTAAAAAAGCTCTCACTACCTCACACCACATTCTTAAATCCATCATCAAAAAAAAAAAAAAACAACAACATAAAAATTAAAGAAAGCATATGGCACAACTGCAAATCCACCAAGACATAAAACTGACACATCAGCCAAGAAGAAGATTAATCAGAGAAGTACCAAAAAAAAAAAAAAAAACCCTGAGCAACTCTGGAGGAGCCACTGAGATCCACAACTCAGGTGGGTGAATTTACTGACAGGACAGCTAATAGGTGAGTAGTCCACAAATCTGGCATGTAGGGAAGAGTGGTAAAAAAAAAAGAAAAAAAGAGGAGGTCACTGAAATCCTCTCTGCAGTCTGAAACAAGTCCTGAGGGAGATGCAGCAGACAATATTTAGATTAGACCAAATGAGGGCAGCAGGGAGGTTAACATGATAATGTATTAAACGGTACAAGGGGTACGAATGCTTTAGAAAGGAATGTTTTGCAAAACAATTACTAATATTTCTAGGGAAAGCTGCACATCCTGATATCAAACTTGCAGTATTTTGTCTTCACTTGAAGGCAACTATGACACAGTTTGCAAAACTGAGGTCTTCAGTAGGAAAAGGACTTTTCTCTGCTGGATAACTAAACTTAAATATGACCTCTGGGTAAGACAGACCATGAGGCCTCTTGAGAGCTGAAAAAGTGGCATATGGCGCATACTTTCCCCTCAAGCCACAGAGAATTCAAAAAGTCAAGCACTTGGTGTGTTTGGGGACCTTCCTGAATGTCCTCGCTTCTGTCACTAGTTCACTTCTAAGTAAGTCTTCAGCATTTCCTGGCAAAAAAAAAATATATATATATATATATATATATATTATGTATCCACCCTTCAGTGTAAAGATTAAAAGAGGAATATGACTTTGAGCCTGCTGAGGTGAAAGTAATGTGTATTTTCTTTTTGAAAAAAAGGTTTTGTGAGTGTATCAGTAAATGTGTGTTTCAGCGCTTTGAGCCCCTGCAATGGCAAAGCCGTGCTAGTCTAGTTTAATGCTGCCATTTCATGCCCTCTCTGGATTGCAGCAGATAGAGTTTTGCACCAGCAAGAGGGCAGAGATTATGTGTGTCTGTGCGCGCAAGTGTGCATATGAGCCGTTTTGCGACTGTGTGTCTAAACGTGTGCTGCGGGGCAAAATGCAAGATGATAGCAACGGAGGGAAGAGAGGAAAAAAAAAATCAATGTGGGGGCATTTTGAAAGCCTCGAGAGATATATGTACACACACATACACACGCTCACACACGCACTGCAGCTGTGACAGGCTGACTTACTGTCACTGTGCTTTATGTACGCGGTGGAAAGACGCACACCGAACCAGTGTAGCAATTTCTCACACTGTTTGTGTTTGTAGAATTAAAAATATGCATGAAACAAGTGTTTGGCTTGTGGAGGAATTAGAAGAATAAAAAGCTTTTCGACCAGATGTGCTAAAAGCTCACCAGCAGACACCATCGTTTGGCAACAAAGGTTCAGACTAACCTTTAACAGATCATTTTTTCAAATTTCTATTTCTTACAACATGAGCTTTGCATATATTGCCCCACACCGTCTGCAAATGGTCAGCAAGCAACTCTGACCCAAATGTTCAAATCCTCCTAAAGCACAAAAAAACACGCAATTAACCACTAATCGACTTCCCCGCTGTGCCAGGACACAGTCTCACAATACGGCTCCGTGATTAATTTGAAAAGGTTTTAAAACGCCTGATGCGAACGGTTCCACTGTGGGAGCAGGGAATTTAATCTAAACCACCGAAACAGATCGTAGGAGCTCAGAGCGCGACATGTCAGCCATAAGACTCTGGGAGGACTTGATGGATGAGAAATGCGGCCTTCTTTGTGTCGTTTAAAAATGCAACTCCTCTCTTTCACATTCTCATCTATTTCGGTTATCGTTTGACGGGTCTGTGTTCGGAGGTCCAGCCGAATAAAAGCGACGGCGTTCTGAGAAGATAAACAGCAGCGATCAATCAAAACTTAGGAACTACTGACAGGTGTTTGAGATTATTGGCATGCAATGTTTCTACAGAATTTCACATGTTCAACGCATTACTGGGAAATAGGATGTCTTCTTACAGTCCGCATACGTACGCCAAAGTTTCAGATTTTTAAGAAGAACATAAAAATAATCCTTTTTCTTCCACTTTACAGTTATGTGCTTATTGTGTTGATCTGTGTGGTCTTCACAAAATTTTTTTAAAAGCTTAAAAATACACTGAAGTGTGTTGTAAAGAAACAATGTGAAATTTTTTTTGTATAAATACAATTTTTACTTAAATTAAATTAAATACACTGCACAAAAAGAAAAAAAAAATCGACCTTTTAAAGCTTTTCATTCTCCAATACGTCTTTGAACCAATATATGATATTCATTTTCAGGTAGATAAAATAATTTTGCCTGCCTAATTTGGGCTAAACGGTGGCACAGATTTTCATCATGCAGTGAAGGGCTGCATGGTGGTGCAGTTCTTAGAACTGTTGCCTTGCAGCGAGAAGGTCCAGCATGTGAATCCCAGCCTGGGGCTTTGTTGGATAAAGTTTGGATGTTCTCTCTAGGTATTCTGGTTACCTCCCACTTGACTGGTTGCTCTAACTTGCCCTTAGGAGGGAATGTTTGCATGCCTGGTTGTTTGGCCTGTTTGTTTCCATGTTGCCCTATGATGAAATGGAAACAAGGGTAAAGCCCACCTACTACCCTAGTACTGCTGGTACCAGGGCTTTACAAGGATAGGTCAGCATAAACATTGAATGGGTGATGTTTTTAAAGTTTGTTTTCAGAAGCTATCATTTAAATTTGTTTATTGTAGAATTATGTTTATGTCTCTTTCAGCACCGAAACATCCGAATTGCTCTTTACTGTTTACTTTCTGTTTGATGTAAGAATATGCTTCCCTTCCCTTCAGTCCATTTATTTTCTCAGCTGTTTTCCTGAACAAAGTGCAGACAGTTCCACTTTAGATTTTTTGTGCAACATTGTTTTTTTTCCTAATCATAGAGCTTTGGTCCCACAGCAGAAAGGTAAATCGTATTTTGCTAGATATACGCTCTTTTCCACCTGGTCAGAGATTTTAGACAAAATAATGTTTTTGGATCTGCGAGAGTTCATTCACAGAGCTGGAGGGAAAAATAAAAAAAAGTTTGCAGATAAATTATCTGCCGGTTAACTCTTTAATAAGCAATCTGGTTGCTGACAATAACTACAGCACGTCAAACAGAACTGCATACGAAAGCTTCAGTCGTCTTTATTGTTTCGCTCAGGCTGAGAGCGTCTACTTAGTAAAAACCTTGTAAAACTAAAGATGCTTCCTGCTTGGAACTACTTTGGTCTCTTTAAAGTGTCATGCAGCAGGTAAACACAAAGACACTAAGAATAAACTCTGCTCACCGACAGCTCTAAATCAACCACGCTGTTTGACTTTTGTGTACGTGGACGTCTGCTCGTGTGCTGTGATTTTTTTTATTTTTTTCCCTTCAGATTGAAATGCTCCTCTACACACGAAATTATGTTTTTTCAGAGATGGAAAAATGAAAAGAGGACAGACGGAAAAGGTGTGCGAATGTATGAACAAGGACTTGTGTTATGTCATCCCCAAAAATGGGTGATTTGGTTAAATAGTGGTTTATAATGGACATAATTATTGTGCACACCAATTACCTTAAATAAATGATTGCTCACTCCCGCAATCACACAACGCGTGTGCTATAATCAGGAAGGCAAATGGTTGCTCCCGGTGTATGTGTGTATGTGTGTGCGCGCTCACATAAAGCCTTTGTGAAGGTGTGTGTGGCATGTGTGTGTAATACGGCGCGCGCCAAACACTGTCTGACCAGCACGCTTGGTTGGATAAAGATTAGACTCAAGGATATAGGAAAAGAAAGGCAAACGCAAAGAAATGACTCTTCTGCACTCGCAGTGCATCTCAAAAGCATCTTACACTTGAGCTCCAGGCGGATAAAGTCAGTGTTGCCCAGGTTTTCCAGAAAGACGCCGTAGGGAGCGCTTGTCTTGAAGTAGAAGGAGATGTCAGCGCTGGTCTCTCCCTGAAAGGTGGCAAAATGCAGGTAGGATGACGGGGTGGTGAATGACGCTGCATTCCAGTAGTTATCTGTGGGGAGAAAAAAAAAAGAGAGACAAGTTTGAGAGATAATTCTGCTCTAAGCTTCATGAAATCTGTGAAAAACAGAAATTTATTCTGATTTGAGAAGCAATGTGGAATTAATTTCTTTTTAAATAGCTAAAATAACCATTTTAATTTAGAAATCATTTTTGGTTTTTATTTCTCACGTCATTTCATATCTCCTTTTTTATAATGGTAATACTCCTTACTATTCTATTTCTATTCTGAGGTTTTGACAAAGCCTTCAATTTTGTGCAGCTTCAATAGAATTTGAAACTAAGGTGATCATATATATATATAAAAAAAAAAGCTTTCAGCTTTCTAAATCAGGACCCGAAAAGACAAAGTATTGCACGCAGGCAGGAGATTTCAGGATTTGCATTAAATTTTCCAATGACTTTTGAATAAAAGGCAACCAAGGGCAACTAATGAAGAAAAAGTAGCAGCACTTTGAACAGCTGCTGATGAACTATCAGACTGTGGTTGATGAAGTGACTCTGCTGTCTGCTCTTCCCTCTGTCTCGCCCCCATCACTCAAGGAAGATGAAGAGTATTGGGAAAACAGTAGGGGCAGAGGAGAGCGCATGCTGAGGAGAGACGACATGAGAAGTGGTAAGAGGGCCCCGGCATGGGCGAGAGGATCGAATATCAAAGGAAGGATGGAAAATAGGGGAGGAAAGCCATGGAGAGGGCAGGTGATGTTAGAAAACGAAAAGCTTGTGGGGCTTGTGAAGGGCAAGAAGAGGAAAAAAGTGGAGGCTGTTGCGTTATCAGCTATCTGAGGGCTCTTAGATGCCAGAGTGTTTTTGACCCACACCTGGAAACAGCTGTGTGCAGGACTGGAGAGAAGAGTCCGGCCCCTACGTCACGGCAACTAGCAGCAAACTTGGTCTTCCACAAACCCTCATTTATACTGAAACATTAAATATCTAATTGCCTGAATATATTTTCTCATATCTAAGTCAAACCTACAAACCACACCAATACAAAATCTGAGCTGAAGGACAGGAGAAAAAACAAAAACAAAAAAAAAACAACAAAAACAACAACAAGAAAAAGCTAAAAGATTCATGTCAGCTCTGCGGGTGCAGCAGAGATCCACAGCTGAGCTGGAAAAATCTATCGACCTGACAATTATTAGACACATACGCTACAAATGTGGCCCTTATGGAGTTGTGGCAAATATAAACGCATTGCTAAATGAAAGGCGAAGGAAGTTAATGTTGGAGTTTGGCACAAGTCATGTAGGGGAGACAGCAAACATGGGAAAGACAAAAAAGGCACTTTTTTGCCAACATGCAAAACACTATGTGTGATGGAAAAACTAACACTGTGCTTCACCCTGAATGCACCTGAAATGTGTTGGTGGCAACAACTGAGTCAAGGGAGGCTTTTCAACAGCAGGGTCATAAAAGCTGGTCATAACTGATAGGAAGATATATGAAGCTTATTACAAGGCAATACTTAAATAAAATATATGAGAAGACTGAGGCAGCAGGAAAACAGCCCAAGACTCACAGCTTGAGCAACAATAGAGGGAGTTTCGAGATAAGTGTTATGTTTTAAAGCAGTTGCTGTTCACATGCATCTTCTATCCCATCCAAAAGAGACGAGCCGCTCTATGAAGATGAATGAGGAAATTTTTCAGGCTCTGGATACGCAAAACTGGTAGAGAAATATAGACGTGCAGCTATGACGGCAGTGAAATGTAATTCTGCAGGTTATCGACAAGGAAAAGGAATACAAATGCAGAAAACACTTTTTGTATTAATAGTTGCGGAAAAGATCTGGAAAGCCCTCCGATTTTCCTTCCACTTCAAAACTGCGTTTCTGTTGGTTTACAATTCCAATGAACTGCAGAAATGTTTAAGGTTGTAACCTCCGCAAATTGAATGACCGAGTCCTCTTGCATACAGACCTTTTTGAAGTATTGCATATGTGTGTGTGTGAGCGCGGGTTTTCAACAGCGTTTGTGTGTCTCCTGCTTCTGCGTGATAAACATTCCCCCGATGACAGACCTGTGCTCCACCCCTCTCCTTCATGCTGCACACTCCTTTCACCAGAGGCGAGGACCGATGGCAGCCAAGCTCCCGCTTACACACACACACACACACACACACACACACACGCAGACATGCACAGACAACAGCATGCTGATGCTGTGTTTGTGATAAGTGTTTGAAGTTGAAATATTGTTTGTTTGTTTTTTCTATTAGAGGCACAGCCAATTACTAAACAGGGGCAATTCAGGGCCTAACCATAAGATGCCTGCCTTGGAGCAAAGAAGCAAATAATGATATATGCACTTTGCTACTCTGAAATCAACGAGACAAAAACGTAGGAAGCAGCGTAGTTAGCACTAACAACATTAACAACCGGTAAGAACTTGTCGGTAATTATGAAACGTACAAGTATAATGACAAATCTTTACGAAATAATCAGCAACAGAGCAAAAGTGTTCCAATGTAATTTCCCACACAAGAGTTTTTTTTGTTGTTGTTTTTTTTTTTCTCCACGCACTTCCGCCAACTTCAGGGCTAGAATGACATTTTCATGTCTGACTGGATTATCGTTTGTGTGTACCGAGACAGAAAAGACACTTGGATACAGAATTGTTGTTGAAGGAGGGGGAGGAAACGGGACGAAAGAAGAAGACAAGTGGGAGGAGAGCGAAACTGCTCAAAAGCGATTCATGGGGCGAGGACCAAAGGAGAACAAAAGAATCAAAGGACTGACAGAGAACCAGAGTTGGAGAGAAATCAGTGCTGGAGGAAAAAGCGTGGAAGCCAAATGATGAACCTCCGACTGCTCTGGTGCCAGAATCACAGATGCAACTGTTTGGCCAGGCACTGCGGCGCATTCATCCCTCCCATATTGAAATATTTACCAAACAAATTTCTTAAACACTTTGGGAAAAAGAGATAAATATTAGCTTGTTAAATATGATTCCAAATATCCATCATACAAAGTAAGGCTTTGTAAACTGAACGCCACACTGACAGGAGAAAACGAGCTTTTAATGGCAGGCATGTTGATTTTCACTGATAAAATCTTAAAAAGTAATTGGGCTTCTTTGATTTCTCTGATGTATGGCAATGAGATATACGTCACAAACAAAAATTAGCTTTGAAAAAGAACCTATTGATGGTGCCTACTGTTTTATAAACCCATTTCTAGTAATTGTTTCTCAAGGTAATGCGAAACATGAAATTTCCTTTGGTCAAATCTTTTTTTTTCTGGGTGCCCTTCGGCTATTTGAGGCTTGTTCATTATAGTCTGAGTTTTACCTTCAATTTGTGTGTCTGACTGATCAATTGTTAAAAGCAGCCCTTATTATAGGCACGCATTACTGCAAAAACAGATATTTTATTTTACAAGGATGTGTGTGTGTGGATACTTTGAGGACTCAAAACTTTTCTTTTGAGAGATAAAAAAAAAAAAAAAATCCCAACAAACTGTGTAAAGCACAAGCAATGAATGGGAAATCACAGAGGTGCCAGGATATAAATTTGGGTAAGAATAAACATACATCCATGTTACTGAACAAATCCAAACTCATTTAGCCATATTTGCAAAGTGTTGTGCTCTGATTTCAGTTGCTTTCTTTCAGTCAGGATCTATAAATCATGAGCTAAGGTGAGGTTTTAAAAATTTGTACTTTTTCTTCACCAAAACAGACCAGAGAACAGACTCCTAATCTATCCATTCATCTCTTGCTGTCTTACCATCACTCACAAACAAAATACCAACACACTTTCCTCCTTCACACATTCTGACACAGACGGCTCTGATTGTGCCCAAGAGTACGGGAGCAACATCCGTTCCTGCTCACCACCTAATGAACACCACGGTTCTCTGTTGTTTTCTTTGATCCCCAGAGTCATTAAGCGAAGCACCGTGTTACACAAACACTGAAAACAGCTGCTGACCTCGGGCAGAAAGGGACCTGTATCAAAAGACAAAACCCCAGCCCAGTGAACTGTGGAGAATGACACGATGTGAAATAAAGTTCGAGGTGAAGTCAGGGTCTGGAAGCCAAGTGGATGATTCATCTGTTTGGGCTTGACCAGATGGGTCACATGCCAGCGCCAACAGATGGTAAGGATGACTGACTGCACCCGCCGCAGGTCATTACCATGGACACTTTAAAGCAGACAAACTACGGCTGGCAAAATTAAGTACACGAGCTATCACATTAGAATTACAAATACTGTACTCGGCTGGAGAGCTTGAGAGGCTGTCGCTGCGGCGATGCGAAAAAAAAAACATTCGTTTACTCCTCTAAAGATTTCTTCTGGTATTGATTAAACTTTCTCAGATGGCAAAAGACTTTTTAATGTCAGTCAAAGACAACTGAGAAAATACAAAGAGATGTATTAAAATTTAAATTTATGAGGCAAAATGTATACAACTTATAATTGCCCTTTAAAACTGAGACAGGTTTCTCAGCGGGAACAACTGTCATCGAACATTTGCCAAAGATGGTAATGACTGGAGAAATCCTGGTCCGCTGTTGTTTGCTTTAATTGAGACGTACTGGAGGGTTTTCAGGCATGATCCGGCCCACTAGAAGCCCTCGTCACAGTTGGATTCAGCTTCCACTTTAATTTGGCCACTTAAAAAACTTTTTTATTTTGTTTGAGCCATTCAGCGGTGAACTTCTTGGTGTGCTTTAAGCTCGCTATCCTGCTACATGGAGTTGAGCTTAAGGCCACAAACTGTTGTCAGAGCACAATTGGAGTAAATGTGGGAAGTTTATCAGGAAACGACGGCTCTCTGTACTACTTCCTGGAGTCTCAAAGGCTTAGAAATGTATCTTTCTTTAGATTGAGGTGTAATATATTCAATTTAAGCTCTTTTAGCCTACGTCTTGTTGCTAAATTGAATTCTGGAACTACAGTGTTTGTTTCTGATTATGTGTCTGCGTGAGTGTTGAGGCGTCATTGTCAATTTAAAACCTCCCTTTTGATATTAACATTTCTTACGTC